TATTATAGGAACCATTTCTATAATATTATAGGAACCATTCCTATAATATTATAGGAACCATTCTTATAATATTATAGGAACCATTCCCATAATATTATAGGACTGATGCCAATAATATTGGAGTAATTTTTTTTTACACAACTGTGGTATTTAATTAATTACTTTTCACTAGATTTATTTTTTTTTGATTAAGTGATTTTTTTTTTTATAATATATAAATTGATAAAAAAAGTTATCAGTAATAATATTTATTATTATTATCATTATGAAATTAATCAGTTGATATTTTTTTAATCTTGAATGGTATACATGCTTGTAAGTTAATTAAAAAAAAAATTTCTTAAATAAAATAAAATTTCCAACTGTTTTGAAATTCCAAATTTTCAAATGTTTTCGCGGCTCAACGTATGTATTGTAAATAAATAATTTGCTTTAAAAATAAAATGAAATTGTGAAAATAAACAATGAATTTCCATATCTATTTTGCTTCTACAATTGTATAGTGAGAAAATATCCTTTTTATTAGAGAAACTTTAAAATTGCTATAATATTTTTCAATATTATTTAACACAATAACAACTGAGCTGGAATAAATAATTCAAGATTAAGTACACACGTGAATAAAAATTATGAAAAAGAAATTTTTTCACTCTAGTGAAAGATCAATTTTTATTTACAAAAAAAAAATTTATTAGCAAAAAAATACATAATAATTACTTTATATTTTTGAAGTGATTGCTTCATTATTAAGAAAATAAACTTTTTTCTATTATTATGTGCGTCATTCCCATAATATTATAGGAACCATTCCAATAATATTATAGGAACCATTCCCATAATATATTGAAGCTATTCCATTATTGTATAGGAACGTTTCCAATAAATTATGGGTATGGTTCCCATAATGAGTATAGAATTAATGCCTATAATGATAATTTTATTATAGGATCCATTCTCATAATTGTTGGAAAGATTCCTATAAATTTTTCTCTGTGTAGTCTTGTTAGTTACCAATAATAAATTATTAACTAAATATAACAAAAGTTTGTTAAATTTCAATTGAGAGGACACAAGTATCTTAAAAATAAAAAAGACGTATGAAGGTAAGAGAAACTTTCTTTTTTGTTTCTCAACTCAGCTTATAAGCCAAAAATAGATTTTAAATGTAAAAAAAATCAAATGAATAAGTTTTTGTAGGATATAATAGAGATATTGGAAGTATAATAATTGGTTCAATCTGTTAACGATTTGAAGAGATCGAGAAATAAGTAATTATTATACAACTTTCTTGAGTATGACGTAAGTTCGTGATCACTCAAGAAATGATAGTTGGACCTACTAGGTGGGTTATAGGTGGCTGCAGTGAGGCTTAACTTGTATACTGACCGAGAATCAGCAAAAACTTTCCCACTCTACTTGGCAGCCCCCTACGAGGTATCAGATTGCAAAGCCCCACTTTTTGCAAATGTTGTATGAAATCTACTCATGAAGTATAGAATTTTCAGTTTGTAACAGACACCGGAATATGTGAGACCGGTGGATACAAAATTCTATTTTTCATTCATTTTTAGTATTGAATAATTCCTGGTTTTGCTCTTAAACCAACGAATTAATAATACACAAAATTTATCTAAATGTATTACCTTGTTATTTTATTATATTGACTTATGACAGAAAATTCGTTTCAATTTTACTCCTCAAAATTGATAATTAAAAAAAAAAAGGAATAAGTTAATAAAATAGTTTTTTATTGCAATTCCATCTTTTAAATTAGATCTGAATATTGACGAATGTCGTGACAAAGGTGTTTATAGAAATGATCGTATAAAGTTTTATTATTGAAACGAGTGCTGGCAACTTTTTTCCTGTAAGTGATTGTTATTATTTATTTATAATAATTTATAATTTTAATAAAAAAAAAAAAAATACGAACTTTATATTCTAAATAAAAAAATAAAGAAAAATAGATTATACCTAAACATAGAATTGAATGATAGACATAGCTGTGTAACGGACAGTTGCATGCATGGCCAATCACGCAATGAGAAGTATATTACTAACTCATATTTTTCTTTTAACTTCAGCCTAATACAATTTCTATACAAAGTTATAATTTACAATGAAATCAAAAGATTTAATTGGACAAACAGGTGGAAGCAAATTAAAATATAATTTTATAAGAATGGATATTCAGCAGCCGAAAATGAAGTTTTGTTTCGAGTGTTGCCTCTTACATTAACGGTATAACCGCTTCGGGGCATTTAATTCGTTATGAATATTCATATATTATTATGCCCGTTATCTGTGATAATTGATGAATAATAAACTGCAATCAAGAAATTTGATAAATATATAATTGAAAAATAAAAATTATTGAATAAGTGGTAATTGATATTGTTGTATCATTTTCATTTAAACGGAAATGACATAAATTTAGACAAACGTTATTGTAACGTTTATTCAAATGTACGTTGATACTCAGATGATATTCGTAAATTTATCATTAATTATATTCTGCAATTTAATCCAGAATACATTCCACTTTAGGGTTTGCAGATAAACTTTCCCCGCAATAACAGTATCGCAGTTTCTCTTGAATAATTTAATTTCTTTCTGTTTCACTTTATTCTTACGAGAACGGCGGTCTTAAGTCTATAAGTTTAAATACATCTTGAAATGTCAGTGAAAGTAAGAAGACTATCTGATGTCACTTGCATCATTATCATAAGTGTAAAATTTAATTTTACACGTAACATTCGATTACCATGTCGCAACCATGCTGTACAAAGAATAGATGAAAATTTAACTTAAATTAAACATCTTCTTTGAGTGGACTCTATACTAACAAGTCATACGTAGCTACTAAAAGTATTTATTCATTACAGTTGCACACACATCTTATGTATACAATAATGTTACCAGTACATTTTTTTCAGCACTTAGTAATTTTTTTATCGATCATCGAGCATCGCTTTTGGTGATTAAGTCTATTAGTGTTTTGTACAGTTATAATGTTTACTAACAACGTTGGTAAATAAAATTAACATTAAATATGATTGCTATTTTCAAACGTCAAAAACAAGAAAAAAACTTTTTTTTCCGTAAAATAGTTTAATTGTCATATTAAATTTTACTTTGCATCTAAATATTTTAATTGGTCGATTCATAAATTAATCATGATTAATAATTTAAAAAAAAAAACTACATTTTTTTCAAGTTACTCATCTGCTAGTATATTCGGATGCAAAATTGAATTAATTCGTAATTATTGTAATATTTTATCGTTAAAATTATGTTAGTCTTTTAAGAGAAACTTCAAATAAAAAGCAATTAATTTTAACGATTTAAAAATTATTCTGAAGATGTTGAATAATGTTTTAATATTACATTGAATTGTAATTGTTACGGTAAAAATAAATTTTTTATCATGTTCTATAAAGTCTTTTTGTGACGATATTAAAAATATTTTATTAAAATTTTGTATATATTATTTAATTTGTATTCAACATTTATTAAAGATCTGGTGATGTAAGAAATCGATTACTACCCGAATCTTATTTTACCAGGGATATTATGATTACATCATAGTAAACTTAGAAATCGTGTTTAAAACAAATGGGTTTAAAATATACTATTTTTTTTTTCTTCGAAACCTGTTTAAAGGTATCGGGAATAATATCTTCCATGTATTACGTATCCAAACGGAAGGCTAATTCTCTGTCGGTTTTACACTACATGTTAGCTTATATTAACCTGTGCTTACGTAATCCAGACTCTTCTATAAACACATGAGGAAGTAATCATGCTGATGTTGGTTATTTCACTTTACTCCTTTTTTTTTGTGAGGTTCATGTAATAACCTAAGAGACATTCCCAAATAGAATGTGAGAATAAAAGGCATAAATTTTTTTTTATTTTTATTTTGTTTTTTTTTTTTTCGATAAAATATGTAGCTAAATTTTATTTATTTCCTAACTTTTTCTATTTCTTACCAGTTGTGTAAGTAAAAATACAAGTAATAAATCACAGTATTCGTATTTGAAACATTGCTAACTACATATACGTCGATAAACGCATTTTTTTTTTTTTTTCAATGAAATACTTTCTCATTCATAATTTCCGTAATTTTGATAGTGTTGAAGAAGGAAAGAAACCTTCTCGCCGATGTAAAATTTTTTAATTATTTATTATATTCTCACCGCTTTTGACCGTAAAAATTTTTTTTACATCCATTATCAATTATTACTCATTAATAATTATAAGAGATGTTAAGCTTACAAGGTTAATATCGGCAAAAGTCGTAACAGTAACGAACATTAAAGGATTAAAATACAAATTTGTAAATAAATCATTTATCGCACTCACGCGCTCCATTGCGTTGTTGGAAGGGAGTTGTTGTCAGAGAAATGCTAGGAAGAAAGCGTAGCGGGAAGTCAATAACGCTATGATATCAGCCTGGCATGACCAACTTTAGCTGTCCGGCAAAAGAATCGCAGGTCTCGTGATCATAAAACTGTCTCCATTACTTATTTTTTTTCTCGCATCATATCACATGTCATTAGTTACTATAACATTTATTTTTAGCATATTGTGTTTATTTAGTCAAAGTTTAATTTTGGTTTGAAAGATCTTCCAATCTCTGTAAGATTTAGCGCAATAATTGCTACTATTAATTAAAAATTTTTAAAATTATCGCTTTTTACATTTTCCTTCGCCTTGCGCTTATATGATCCATAATCATAACTTTTATTATATACACGGAAAAAAGTGGTATTAATTCTGTATCAAGTAATACTATATTAGGCCGCGTGACATAGAAAGTGTTATGCAAGAAAATAGTCGGAACATAGGATGTAATATATTAAGTATAAAATTTGCATCGTTTTTTTTTTTTTTTTGTGTGCATGCATATACACTTCTAGTAATTCTAAGTAAGACATTGATCTATAATTTACTCCTATAAAAAATCGATGAAAATAATCAAAATATTATCTTAATTCGAAAATTTGATATTTTTTGAAACTCATTTTCGGCAATTACTTTTTTCCTAAACTTTATAATTTTAAAGTTCTGAAAATGAAACAAAGTAAAATCCTCAAAAATTTACCAGGATTTCAAGCTTATAAAAAACGCTACGAATATCTTATAATAGCGTTCGTCTCCTACTTCGGTCCCTTGTGAGCATCATTTAACTTTAATATAATATCTTTATAGATGAACGGTGTACGTGACAAAACGTACGATTTTTATCGAATTCGATTTGTGTCTTCTGGGAAATTTTTATGGCTCTTACTATTCATGGATACTACTATTAAAAAAATGATCTTTCTCTTCTATCAGTTACTTCCCGGGAAAAAAAGTTTAGATCTGCTCTGATCAAATCAGATCTGAGCAGATCTGTATTTTGGCCAGATCTGTCCAGATCAAATCTGATCTATTTAGATCTGGTTCGATTGAAACAGAATCAATTTTTAAAAAAGTTTATAAAATAAAAATAATATAAAAATTAATTTTATTTTTACTTGCAAATTGAAATTGTGTATTTTATATGAATTTTCCGTGATTTAAAGTCGAATTATCGTTGAAAAACAATTTGCGATGTTGGGGATTCGAACCGGGGTCCTCCTGCATGTCAGCCCCAGAGCGTACAATTCAGCTA